ATATATAAACGAAGTCTCCTGAAAAGAAAAACTTTTGCTATATACTTTCAACATATTTTTCATCAGGAATCACTCCCTTTTCGGTTGTTAGTTCAGAGATCCTATATATATTCCCCTACGTTATTCGCCCTCTTTACTGGACGCTGGGAACTTTTACTCTTCCGTAATACTTTTTCCGCTTTCATCAACATCAAATTAGAAGTTGACGACGCTTTATAGCTTCTTTGTCGAACGTGTTAGTAATTTCTGAGATAATCGTGTAAAAAAAAATACAAAATGACGAAATGCAATATTTTAAGTGTAGAATTATTTTACAATAAATAAAATGAGAAATACATAACACCTTTCCTAATAATTTTTCCTGTCGCGTTATTATTGTTATGAATAAAAATGCAGATATGTACAGATATGATGTTTTTGTAAAAAAAGTAAATTTGAATTGTACGAATTTGCGAATAACCGAGACATTTACATTATTAATTGTAACAGCAATAACACGCGGGATAATGATACATACCTTCAACGAATCAGGCAAGTATCCCGTAAGAAAATCTAAGAGTTTAGACAACTCCTCTTCAGCGACTAGACGAAAATTCCGACCTCGTTCTACCGCCTCGGGGCACTCCATGCTGAAACTAATTACCGAAAGATTACTGCGTAAGTGGCGTGTAAACTTTCAATTCTTTTTATGAACGCCGGTGATGTTCTCGGGAAAACAAAACTCCGATTATCTCGAGATTGATTTCGGAAGCAGATAATTCCAGAGCTCCAACCCCCTCCCCCCGGCGTAATCGATACTAATTTAATTTTTTTCCTGGGGATTAATACGTCACTTTCCAAGGACGTTAAATCTTGTGGCGATACCGTACTCTGATCTTGTACTTTGGGAACACGTGAAAAGAGTCGTGTGGTATTAGCGGAGGCACGCGACGTGGCCTGCTTATCTGTTATCGTAACGTTGGTTTCAGTTTCCACGGATTGTTCGTTGATGCATATCGGCAAAATATTATGTATAATCATGAATCGCACGAGCGGTTTGACGAGCTTGGCGTTAATGCATGTTATTAGCGAATGATCTATAACTCGAACTTTTCAAGGCCTGGCACATTGTTTGCAGCGATTCACACCAGAGGCTGGCTAGACCTTAAGCTAATCCTCTTATCCATAATTAAACAGTTTAAACTATCCTAATGCTATCGACAAACTGTGATTCTTAATCGCACAACTTATTGTAAGGCATTTGACGAATCACGACCAAGATACATATTTTGTTACCGACACGCAGCGACGAATGTGGATAAACCGAATAGAAATCCAAAGAAGAATCTTCTTCATAGAAATGAAGAAAAAAAATCATTAAAAAGCTAGTTGTTTTTCCTATTTTACGTGATTATTACACAGCGGTCGCATTACAATTTATATTTGTGTTTATCAAACGATGGGGACAATGCGAACAATGCGAGACATGCAATTTACGAAATGAATATATACGCAAAAACTGCCGGCGTTATTTATGTATACGTTAGTGACATATGGGTCAGCGTAACCTTCAGCGAAATTTCCTTGGATAATACGGCTTCTTACGTGTTTCAACAACGCGCACAAACTTATCCGTAAGATTACTGATTCACAGTGTGTGACACGCTTGCGTTACGCAAACTCATAATCATCGACATTATACGCTTGCTTACAGCAAGTGAAAAAAAAAAAAAAAAAAAAATAGAGACGCCCATCATATCGCTTTACGTTGAAGAGTAAAAATCCTACGTAGTTATGCCAAAGAAATTAAATGGAATGCGTTATTTTTGCAAATCGGCTTCGGATGAAATACTGCGGAAATCGCACCAGTACTCGTGGTGTAATACGTGCGTGCAATACGAATACTCCGATTGGCGATTGATTACGCAACGTAAATTTATAATAGATTGATTGTCTTTCAATACTTCCGCGGATGGAACCCGAATGATCTCGCACGTTAGTGGTGCAACGCCGATAAACAAATCCTCGCGCCCGTTTATCAACCGTAACGAATTGGTTATACGAGCGTGATTGTTTACAGATAACGGGAGAAGCGCCGTAGTGATTAGTATCGTGTTCCTCGACGATTCTATTCTCGTTGCCTTTACATCTTTATCGGCCATCGACCCACTTTTACGTCACGTCGTCGATCACGCCGAATTGTACACCTAAATATTCCTGAATATTCCTGAATTACCCCCTCGAGATTATCGGCGTCGTGTCCGCACGTTTTATCGTCGGGTCTAAACTAAAGCGGCGAGAATTCATTCGCGTCACGGCGAAAGTGCGCTGGACACTCTCGACGATGATCATCGCCGATAACTAAGCTGCGTTATGTATCAACGACCAAACGTAACGCGCGCCGGTAACGCGAGAGATTGCCGATATTTTAATAATAATTACGTATATTACGTGCATTACGAGGGAGATGATACGATCGTGTGCGATTGCCATCGGAGAGACGCACACTCCTTAGCGACTCGATACGCACCGGCGATGCGTCACGAGACCGCAAGCGGTACGCCGTGCCGGTCCGACAGCCAGTTGTGTGCGTGTTGTGCAATTCCCCCGTGTGTGGTGTCCTCCCCCTTAAGTCGCAGTCTTAAAGAAGAAATCCGGATATACACCGTAAACGTTCCTCGTAGCTCGGCGTCTTGTCGCGTCTTGGGCCGATATCTCGTCTCGCCGGTTTTGCGTCTCACGTAAATGCGTAAATTTACGTGCGTATTTTAATCGATTTACCTGAACGAGCGGCAGTCTGTCGTTCACGTCCGAGCACGCCGTGTTGGATCCCCCTCCCCGCGAGGAGGACGACGGCGACGTCTCGTACCCGGGATCGTCGGGATTGATTTTGCACCACTGCCCGATTGATCGCGCGCGCGATTTCGGTGTGCGAAACCACGGTGTGTGTTCGAGGCACGGCGTTGCGAAGCGGCCTCACCGCTGCCGTCGAGGGTGAGAATGGTCGCGAGCTGTTGTCAAGGGGTAGTTCCAACGGAGGAGGCACCCACCCTCGCCGCCCCCTGAACCCGCACTGCCACCCCTGGGCCACCGTCGCCCTCCGTGCACCGAGCGCCGTCGAGGCCGACGGTGCGCAGGCGTGTGTCGGAAACACACGGCAGTGCCGCGGTTCAAACCGTCAGCGCCCTTCGAAGGTCTGCCCTGCAGAGCCGTGATGACGTAGTCCGCGCGATTCGAGACAGCTGAGTCAGCTCTCGTCGCGCGATCGTTCCTGCCAAAGGAAACGGGACGTCGCCGAAACATTTTGCATGATACACAGCCGGGTGATTGTGCCGCGCGTCGTTGGACCGGAGCAGTTCGTAATTATGGGTACGAAGGTGGCACGAGAGATCGTTAAAAGCGGCACGCACACGAATGCCAAGTTCACGTCTACGGGCGATAGAATTTATTGCGGACCTAATACCTAACCGCTCTCGCGATTGTCACCCCCCCCCCCTCCCTCCGAGAGTAAAAACGCGCGCGCGCGCGTGTGCGCGCGATTCCCGGGGACGAGAGACGGGAATCGCGGCTGATCGCCGTGAAATCGCGATGTAATACGAACTCGTCTAAGAAAATCAATGTAATAAAGAAAATAAAGAAAAACGTCGAGCATCGCGATGACAATTATGAGAAAGACATTATTTCCAGAACCCCCCTGGTGCCGCACGCTTGGCTTCTTCGTTGCGCAGAACTACAGAGTCTCCGCATTGCCTCTCTCTACCCCCAAAAAAGTTGCACCAGAAACTAGGATTGCAGACCGAACTGTCGCATAGGCGATGAATTTATGAAAAATTAGCACGTGACGCACAATTTTTTATCAATTTCTAAAACAATTAATATTGTTTATGTATTATATATAAAAAAAAAAGAATTTTATCTTCGAAAATAGGTGTATGTACGTAACGAATAAGTACAATTAATTAATTTTTTAAAGCGATACAAACTAATTTATTCATATAACGCTGATCTACTTTATAAACTTTAATATACACATAAGTATTATTAAAAATTATAAAGTAAATGAGCATTGAAAAATGAATAATAATTATTGAATTTCGAAACGACCGTTTCTACGCGATGTGAAAAATATCTCAATGTCGCGGCACATTT